ACACAGCACTGTGCCTGCTACTAGGAAGAAAATTAACTCTGAACAGCTGAAACCAGGACACCTGTCTGTTCTCCCAGCTATGTTCTATGTCAAAGGCAGTTCCTGTGTCATTTTTTTATACGAACAGCATATGTACTTTGTAGTGCTTCAGATAACACAGAATAAACTTTGCTAAAAAATTACAGAATGTAAAATTTTAGTGCTCTGAAGTTGGGAAATGGGAACAGAAAAGCTGGTTGTACATCCATTAGTTTGCTTGCCCATACAGTCTTTTTTTGCTTCCCTCTCCACTTTCTTATCTGATCTGCCACAGAGAGAGATCAGGGTGAATCAAACAAGTCAAAATGATTCAGAAGGTTTTTTCTTTTTTCAGCCACAACATCAATCCTAATGAATTGCAGCATCATTCTATACATTTATGTTGTGCATTAATATTGCCCTCCTTGTACGTATGATAAGAAGCTATAGAATAATATTTTTAAATCACAGTTAAGTTGATGTGACATTCAGGACCTTTTGCATTTATGAAATTTAGTGACTCTGATTATGCAACATCAAAGCTAAAAAACAGAACGCAAAGACACTGTTTGGCAGTACAAAGAAAAGGTGCAATACTGTAACCTGCCAGAGCATCTGAACTTATTTTTCTGTGCTTTCAGAAACACTTGCAAGAGCAACCTGTGACATCCTCAGAATGATATAGACAGCAGAGCAGCAGTGCTGCCCTTTCCCACCATGATGGCCCCTTGAAAAAGCAGCAGTCTGGTTTTAGACATATATTCACTAACCTCTGAACACCACTGCGAAAGGCAGCTAGGGTATATTTAAGAACCATTTTGCTTCTCTAGGAAATGCGCAGTGAGGAATGGCACAGCTGGATAGCAGTGCTAACATTAGAGGAATGACAGATTTTAAGTGACTGGAAGAAACAGGACAGAAAAGGGAAGGGGAGAGGTTTGGTGTTCATAAAAGTAGGCGAATATGTGGGTTTGAATATGGGCAAGGAACACGTCACGGACTTAGGTGGCACAGGAGTCATTATAGGAAAGTCTGAAAAAGAGCATGGCTCAAAAGGAATCCAGTCCGTGCTGAGCACATGCATCCATTAGCATGGTTTTGATTTCCTCTTTTTGTCTGCTGGCAGTAACCAAAGTTGACAGGGGCTACTGGAGCAAAATTTAAGCCTATTAAATGAAGGTGGGCATCCTCAGTTCTGCGCAGAAATATAGACCGACTTGACAAAACAGCTGAGTTTAGTTAAAATTACAGGGGAAAAAGTAGACAAATTGAAATTTGGACTGGAGCACAAGAGCCAACAGCAACTTTATATAATGTGTTTGAGAGCTGTAATGCCCTGAAGTACCAATAAATGCATTTTTACATCTCATCCTGAGAGTCTTACAGATTTTTTTTCTGGAAATGTCCTAAAAATCTCAACCTTGATGTTCAAACTCACAATTATTTTGAGCAAACTTATTTCCCTGGCGAGTTGCCCTCTTTTCTTCTGCAGTGAATTTCTTCTACTTGACTCCCAGTTCTGCACAAAGTGATTTATTAGAGAGATTGCAATTTTTTTTTCCTTTTGGAAAGTGTCAGTTTCTGAACAAGATCAAATAATCTGCTGCGCTTCAGTATTGACTAATTTTAATTATTAAAACGTTTCTCCCAGGAAAAAACTCATCATGCTGTTCGCTGAGAAACCAGCAATTTTTAATAGAATTCAGGAACATCTTTTCTTGAGGAGATCAGGGAACACTGAAGACAGAAGTCTGACTTTATACTGGGCTCACAGGTCAATGACATTTTTTTAAAAAGTAGGAGGAACTAGCTTTTCCCTTTACCTTTTTTCTATCTATGTGTCTCCCTTTAAACTTGCACTGATGGGCTTTGCCAAGGCTAGAGTAACAGTAGCACATAATTTGTTATGCAGTAAGCCTTAATCATATATATTTAAATGAATTCTAAAGCTAAACACATACTTTGCATATATACTACACTTATTAAAATCAGAAATCAATCTTTTGTTAGATATCATTTTAGTGATATACAGTCCCCATTGCCATAATTTTGTCTGGGATCCTTTCCTTACAACAGCCTAGCAAATTGATATTGTTAAAGTGTCAATGAAAAAAAAAGATAGCTACATTTGTATTACAATTTCTCACATTTAAATTCTCAGGTTTTCGCATCATTGACAAATAATTAGATGTTCTAGCAAGGTAATAGGATAATTACACTGTTGCTCCATAACTCAAAATCTGAAGACGGCACTATCTGCATTTGAAGTATAATGCAAGTTTCCCTATTACAAACCAGCGTATCTTACCACAACAACAAATTGTTTACTGCAGTATAATGAAATCAAATACATGCTTAATGATGTAAACTTGACAAAGTAATATATAGAGTCTGCATTATCTTCAATTAGGTGTCTACTTTGGTTGAAGAGTTCTCAACATTACAGTTGAAAAAGCTGGATTTTTAGCTGCATAATTTTCAGCTCCATTTCATCTGCGCACTAAGAGAAAGGTTCTCTTTCGCTGTGCAAGAGCCATACCACCGGATAACGTACATAACAAAGAAATAAAGGAAGAGGTGGCAGGCACAGCATTAGGACTAACTGAAGAAACTACAGCTGGTCAAATTTGTGAATGGTAATTTCAGCAGGGGAAATAAGACAAAACCTACAGGAGACATCGCTTGTGTCAAATGATCTTTTCTTGCGCATCTAACAAAAAGCAATACCATTCCAGTCACTTTGCGCCAACAGTTGTCAATATTTGCGTGATTTTATGAGATTGGCGTGAATTCAAAGCTAACCACGGTATTTGCCGCAGCCCAGCATTACAGTCAGACTGCGAGCGCACAGCTCCCTAACTACAGGGGGAAGGCAGGACCCACAATTCACTCTCTAAACCAACCATCCTCCCGAGGGTGTTTTGGCAGGGGGAGGTGGCTGCTGCCGGCGGTGGGAGAGGGGCATGCACCATCCACTGCTCTTTGCCTTCCCTCCTCGCCTGTGATCAGTAATGCCGCTAAAGGACGCAGCGCTGTGGCGAGGCGAGCTGGAAGCCGGCTGTCGCAGAGCTGCAGCTGTACCTTTCACAGTCCTTCACGTCGCTGCAGATCCCCGTTCAGTCGGTATTTCAGGGGTCTGTAGCTCTTCCAGTGGGAACTAGAAGCAGCAAGAAATAGCGTGCGGTATTTGCGTGGCAGTCACAGAAACACTCGGAAGGCCAGGCCCTTTGCCAGCGAGATTAAGGAGCTGCTTTCACAGCCTGACTGAGGCCAGGCTTTCTGCCAGCAGAAAATAGTTTACTACGTGGACAAAATGAATTTCAAAGACTTTTAATTGGATCATCACCCAAATTCACCTTTTCTAATTGCAGAAAGTCCAAGGGACTAAAGATTTCTTCAGGAGTTCAGCATTTTGGAGCATGGCACGTTCCCTGGTTTTCTTTCATTAAGGGAAAATATCTGTTTGGCGTTTCAGGTATTTCCATGCTAGTATTTTCAGCATTTCAGCTATGTAAATTAACCTGCAAATGAGTAGGTTGTGTTTTCTAAAGGGAAAAAAAGCTTTGACTTCTGTTGTCCAATGTAGAAAGCCTGCTGATAGAAATTGCAAGTGTGACTTTACCGCTGCCCCTTTCACCACCATCGTGTCCAAGAGGCATATTTTGGGTACTAAAGGAACTCTGGACTCATCTATGTTTTAAAGACAGACATGTAAAACACCTGTGTTGCAGATCTGAACTGCTGTTGCTACACTCACCACCCTTTCCAGTGAAGAGCTGAATTACCAGTTAAAAGATTCCAGATTCATAACGAGCCAGACTGTATCACGAACACACAGAGGATCCCCAAAGCATTCTGTGCCCAGGAACCTCCATTCCACAAACCTCAAATCCCATTAGGCAGATCTGCTTTTAAGGTTAGAGATGACACACTATGGCTTTCCCCTCTGTTCATTCGTCCCTCGGTCTAATTCCTAACCGAAGTGCCATTCACTTTTTTACAGTGAGGATGTCTGCATAACTGATTTTCTTTACCCTTTTGTCTGTTTAATATTCCCATCTCCTGCTCAAACAGCCCACAGAGACATGGCAGGTACCATATTTCTGTTGGAGTTGCTATTGGTTTTCATTATTTTTCACTGACCTTCACTTATTAGCTTTAAAAATTTGTGAATAAGTGTAATTTGGGGCATATTCACAAAGGCTAACTCTCAGCTTTACTTCCTAATGTCTAGATGGGATTTTCAGATGGCTTCTTGTTTCGCAGCATTCGTGTTATACAGACAAGACAAACTGTGAAGCAGAGGTCACTGGTGTTCAGCGAGTCTGGGCGACAATTACCAATGAGTTAGGAAAAAGGTTACTACTGTGCTGAAATATATAACTAGAGAAGTTTCTGAAACAAATGGAAGGGTCGGGGTTCTTTTCTTGTCTGTGTGAAACCGAGACATTTATTTGTTGTAGGTGTAGTGAAGAAGCTTTGAGCGATGATATAAAACAGGAAATTGCAGAAAATACCTTTAACAAAGAAAACCACTGTTAGATCCTTGAACTTCAACCGCAGTATAATTAAGGCTACTGGCATGGCTTCTGTGATCATCTTCTTCCTCTGTTTGTTTGTAAATGGCACTAAGCTGCACTTACTCTCACTGAACTGCTCTTACCATGTGGCAATTTTCAGTGCCCTTTACAAGGTACCCAGAAGAATGTGTTCTTATGATAAACAAATGTTGCTGTGTGTAATTTCATGCCCTTTTAATTTATGCTGTACTGCATTTGTTAAGTAGTGTTTGCCAATATCCTACTTACTTTCACCAAATCTGCAGATAGAGCTAAAAGGCTTACTTTATAAAAGATAACTGGCTTAGTTACGATTTCTAAGTGCCAGTTGTCTTTCCTACTGAGTATAATGCCATTCAGTTAATGTAAAAATGAGAGAATTTTATAGTTGTCTGCCTTAAGCTGTACTATCTCATATTCTCAGATAATTCATGTCCACTTGTTTTGCCTGTGTTCATTATTTCTCAACTTTAAACTTACCTTTTAAACTACAAATGTGAAACTGTCTCCTATGCAATTCACATAAACAACAAAAGGCAGTTGTACTTTCCTTAGCTTTAGAAGAAGCTTCCAGGATATTCTTAAACAAAAAACAAAACAACCCCCCCTTATTTTCTGCCTGCAGGGTAGATCTGTGCCTTCTTTCCTCTCAGTCTCTGACTCTGCACCTTAAACAGGAAATCCTGGTGTGAAATTTCTTCAAATGATTTCTAAAAATTTGACTCTGTAATACATCATCTCATCTACCACAGCATTAATATCCTAAAGGACCTTTCATAACTTAGTAAAGCATTCATTCCAGAAATGCTTTTGGCTATTTTGAGTCAAGCTGGGCTTCCTCAAACTTTTCTGTGTTTGAGCCCTCAACTCACATTCAAAGATTTAACGCTATGATCACTAGCAATTACAGCCATTTCAAATTATTTTCCTCTTTTATCAGGTTTTAAATGTTTCCCTGTTATCACTCTTGAAGGTACTGAAAATCCAAGTGTCCCACAGTCTCCTGCAAAAACTATTTGTATTCTGAGCTTCTTTTTGCACCTTTTATGGGTGATGTATCACAGATTGTCATGGATCAGTAACACAAATTGAACTTCATAACATGACATTCATTATCTAGATGCTTTCCCCAACACCGTTAATGTTACATGTGAGCATCTCACAATGTCGTTACTGGGGAAGTGCAGCTATTCCCATTTCAGAGATTGCAAGCTGGGCAGAAATGGTAGGAAGGTTTGCTTAAGGGCAGAGAAGCAGCTGAACATAATTTTCTTAAGTCATAGGTGAGCAACCCAATCACTAAAAGGGGAAGAAGACTCTTGAGAGAAAGGCACAAATCAATAAATCATTCAGAAAGATCCCATGAAACCCTGTATGTGTTTTCACATTTAACTTTCAATGGATATACTACTAATATTTTGCAATTCCATTGGTTTAAAGCAGAAAGTCTCGTCTCACCAAGTGCATATGTCCATCCTACACATTTATGTGCCACTTTCCCTTCCCAAAGGGTAAGCAGACCATCTCCCTTTCTTCCCCTCCTCCCTGCAAGAGCAGCCAATTTCCACACATCCTGTGCCAAGTTCTTCTCCCATCCTACACCTGCCAGCAGGGAGTGGGGAAGGAGAGGTCAGCAAGCCGTGCACCGTGGCAGGAGCAGTAATGACAGACTGGATGCCTGCGCTAGGCTGAGATCAGGCAACAAAGGAGAGCATGCGGGTGGGCAGGCAGGAGCTGCTGCCCAAATGGCCTGGACAAGGACTTCCACAAAACTCAGGTGGACCACACCAATAGCTTCTTAAAATATATCCTCAGTGTTATTCTGCACTTTCCTTGTGTACACGCCTTATTATCATTTTAAGAATATAAAATCCCATGCTTCATATTTTGCCACAGAAAAATTATATTCTTAATTTAACAATATACTTCTGTACTCAAGAGAGCAGGTAAAACTGGTAACTGCCTTGTTTCTGCATCTGGTTTGTAATCCTAACACTAACCTTTTCTTTGCTTGTTAGTTAACAGAGGGTATATTAAGCTTGACCATTTTTTTCCTACTAGATGAGATAAAATGAGGACAAAAGGGATAAGGCCTAGATCAACAGCTAGATTTTCACTAGCCCAAATTCTAACAAGTTTTTTTGCTCATTCTTTTATTCAACAGTCTGTGATATATCTCTGTTTGCTCTTGCCCATCATGCCCACCCTTTGAACAGAAATGTAGCTACAGATGGTACTTTGGCAAGGTAGACTGAGAGCTGTAGTCGCATCACATGTTGTTAGAGAAGGCTTGACCAGTTAATGCATCTCTGTCGCACCATTTGGTGACCTTGCAGCGTGTGTCCTTTTTGACTCAATGTCTCAGGGTAACACAGTGAACAACAAAAATAGCATCAATCGCTACTTCACCACATTTTTGAATTGCAGGAACCATTTTCTGCTGCTTTCTGGACTGATTGCTAAAGAAATACAGAATTCTCCCAGAAATTCAGAGCACCATTATATAACTGAATCTCCCAAATGGAGCGTTTATACTGAATTCATCATCGTGGTGTCTGAGCATCTGTTGTATTTAAAATGAGAAAACAATTTAAATGTAATGTTTAGTCAGAAAATCCTGTATGAATCCAGAAATGATGATAGGCTCTGTCTAATAGCCTTTTTTCCTACATTACCCCTATTCTCTCTTAAAATCTAACTTTTGTGGATGATGGATTGGGTCAGTGCCAAATTACAGCTTGCAATGAAATTTTGCATCAGCCAAGACATAATCAACATTAAACATTTGAGTCTAAGACTTCATTTTGATCTTCACACAAAGTGAATTGCAAAGCAGTGTCATTTATTTATGTTTACCCAGCTCTTGGCTCATCTGCTAACAGTGAATGACAAGAGTGGTTGACTGGCAGGTCAGCCAAAAATACTCCATGTTTCGAGCAATCGGCAGTGGAAGGCTTCAGCAATGACTGCCCTGTCAAAAATTCTCCTGAAGTCACACAGCAGCCAGCAACACAGACACATCTGTGTGCCTCTGGGGCACAATTTCGATTCTTCCTTCATTGTGTTTCCTACTATCCGGAAGTGAATACAAATGATTGTGACACTTGCAACAGTTCTGGCAGCATTTGGATGGCAGGAATCCATCACTTTCGCATTCATTTCTTCAGCCTATCATTTACTTAATGCTTTGGTGTTAGCACAAAGGTGAAGAGTCCTAATAGCAAATTCTGAGACATGCATAGACAGTCTGACCTCTTAAGCTAGTAATTTGTACTTTTTAGTGTACTAAAAAGTGGGGATGCTTAGAAGAAATATCAAGTTTTAAATATTGTCTCAAATAACCTTTTTTCCTACTTGCAAATGAAGTAAACTAAGACTTACAAAAGAAATAAAAACATATAAAAATATTAAAGAGAAATACTTTAAAAATCTTCTACGCTTCATTCAGGTCGTATTTTTCATATTTTCTAGCCACAATGGTTGCATATAAACAAGGAATAAGTATGTTTTGCTCTGTTAGTAGCCTCAGTGTAAGATACCAGGTCAGCAGCCAAAATGGCTGTCCTGCTTCACATCTGATTCTCACTGATCTCTTTTCAAAGTACTATTAAATACCCAGTGAGAGTATCTTGGAACAGATGCCTCAGAAAGCTTAAGACTCTCACTCACCTTTCATTTGTCTGTCTACATCTAGACATAACAACTTTTAACCTAAAGCAGGCAATGCTACTTTTTTTTTTTTTTTAATGCTGAAAATAACACACAGTGTTAACTACCTAACAGGGAACCCTGGATAAAGCTCACTGTTGAACACCGTTTCTTGAACAGAAGTATTGCAAGTTAGTTCTTGTTACCAGCTGGTCTAATGAAATGTTAGACACCATTTGCAGTTTAAGTGCTAATTCCTAGCATATCGTTATTTCTAGTAAAGTAGATTTTGAAGCTACGTATAGTTAACCCTTGTAGTAAAGTTTCCACTTTACTACATGATGCATTATTGCATTTCTCTGCACATGCTTTTATACTGAGCTGTCTGCTCAGAAGCAGGAGAAAAAATGAGTTCCTTCCTTACATTCTTAGTCTTATTCTTTTAAGTCATAAAGAATTATAAACTTTTTTGTTCATCTAGATTACAATTGCTGGCATATTGCTATAAATGTGGATGACAAGCCTTTCTATTAAATTAGTATTTTATAGGCATTTCTTTTAAATCATGAAATAACTGTCAAAAGCAGTAAAAAAAGAACCCTAAAAAACAAACCCCAAAACAAAACAAAAAAACCACAAACCACATTTGTCAGCAACAGCCTAAAGAACCTTGATTTTAAGAGAGAACATCAAAGAGAGTCAGAGATATAAAATTATTTCAAACAGATGGGGGTTTTTGCATTTCTCCTTTGTTACATTGAACTAAGTTAATCTTTTTAACTGATTTTAATCTTAAAAAGTTTTACCAAACTACTGTGGTTAGGTAAACTCCTGGAAGTATAGGTGGTCATGTAAAATTTATTTACCAACAGTGTAAGAGTACCTCACTGCTGTGGGCTTATACATAAAAAATAACAGACGGGTAGATCTATAGATTAATGAATAAGCACGTGGGTAATACCACCTTGGCAGATCCCAACATTTGATAGTAGAGTACCCTGTGCTTGAAAAAAAGATGGTTTTGTTTTTCAAAGACAATTACTGGGAATCATAATTTCTATCTTCTTAAACAGCATTCTTCTGAGCCCACTAACAGCCCAGTTCTCCAGCTGTTACTTTGAACAGGCTCACTGCAAGCAAAAAAGGGACTGAGAACGGGACCAGAGAGTTTAAGTTCTTACCCTGCTTGAACTGTAATGACTTGTGCCTTGAGCAGGCCAGAAGCATCCACCAAGATGCGGTAACTAAATACGTACAACCTTAGCGCATTCTCCTTGCATGTGGGTGAGCGTGTGTGTGGACAAACAAGGTTTGATCATTCTAAGAATTCGGGAAAACACAACATTAACATCCAGCTCCAAATCTGAACCAATTATGAAAAAACTGCAATTAACTTTTTTTCTTTCTTGAATAGTCCATGTGATATTTAGACCTATTATTAGGCAACACACCATGAAAATCCTTCATCGCTTGCCAAAGATAGGAAAATTTCCGCTGCATCACTGTCAGGTATTGGTCCAACAAAGTAGGACAAATCAGGACCTGAGAAGCCTGGTGTGTGTTCTCACAGATGGTGCTATACCTTTCCATGAAGCAGGAGGTACATTTAATTTAATTTAAGACAAATCTAAAAATATTTTTGTCAGCCACACAAATTACACATCCTAGAACCAGGGGACATTTAAAAAACCCCCTCATTTCTTTCACAAAGTGAGGACCTCAGATCTCATACCTGTTCAGATCCACAAAAGTAATACCATAAATAACTCTTAGGTGATATGACACGATTGCTCTTTCCAAAGGGTTTTACAAGACCTGTAAAAGCAACTATATTTTAACACTGGAATATCAACTGTTGTTATTAATAGGTTTTAACTCATTAAAATTACTTTCCTCCCTGGACACCTGCCATGCAGAAATTACATTTCTTTTGCTGTTTTTATTAAATTTGATTTTGAATAGAGAAAAATGTGACATTTTTTTCCTTAATGAGATCTTAGCCACTTTTTGAATCGAAATAAACATTTAACTTGTCTTCTTGAGCTGTTTCATTTACTTTTGTTCCCTGCTGTGCTGGAAACATGCTTTGTGCTTGCTCTCAATCAGGTATCTCAACAGTTTACCAGGTAGCACAGCATAATACAAGTATTATAGTTACAGATTAGCTGTTCCCTGCCACCATTCACTTCGTGATTTGGATCCCTTGTCATTTACAAATCAAAATGTTTATACGCTCAGTTATAACACTTCCAAGTGAGAGTAAAGGGTATTCCATTACTCCCAAGACAACTATGGAAACATTTGTGTGTAAAGTACTGTGATACTCTCAATTCAGTTTCATATTTCTCCATGTCTCACTGCAGCAGAACATCTCACAGTGATCTAACATTTATAAAAGGGTTATGCATGCACACCTAGATCAGAGCTCTGTAATTCAAAGAAGGTATTTGTCCAAGTTAAAAAATTGCTAAAAGATTGCTGAAAAGAGTCCCTGGAATTTTTGGCACCCACAACCATCAACACAGCAAACTGCCTCCTTTTGCTTAGTCAAAGAGCCTTGATCAAATGCCATGCAGAAAATATCCTGCTACTAGCTCTGCCCTAAAACGCACATTTCACCTGGGTGAATGATTAAGAAAAACAGCAAAACGCATTGCGGAGGAAAACCAGTACAAACAATATGAGTACTGTGAGTACAGGGCTGAACTTTATCAAAGTACAGGCAAAGGACAGGTTATTACCATGATAAACATACATGCACCTGTGTTGGCAAAGGGAATTAGCTGTTTTCCCAACAGTGGCCAGAATGTGAGCCCATCATATCAGCTCATCCATACTATTTTGCCCCAAAGACACAGCCTACCAGGCCAAGGAGAGTGTGCTCAGTAGATTACCCCTAAAAGTACAGTCGTCAGCTCCTGCTGACGTTCCCAACACCGCCAACCTCAGGTGTCTAAAAAGTGCTGTGTCTGCTCCTGGTCCAATGCACATTCTTGGGTGATGGAACAAGGGCACATTCTGGATTTTTGCCGGCTAAAAGAGAGTAATTAATCTTAATTCTTTTCTTCTCCTTGAAAAATAGAACCTCTACAGCTCAAGGAAAACAAAGAGCTATCAGTTGTTCTGTGGCAAATTAATCTTAAAGGGTGAATCTTCCAAAGAAAATCAATAGCTTATAACCAGATTCTGTATTGTGTTTGAGCTCTGAAACTCAAACTCGAATCAAAGGGTACTTTCAGCATTGCAAGTTTGCTCTTGTTGTGCTTTGTTTTTAATATAGTGCCATCATTTGAAAAAGTGAGATTTTCACATATGAGAAATTTTAGTTATGTGTGGCTTCATCTTCATGGAAGACTCTAGTAATATTTAATACAGGCTGTAAGATTACAGGTATTTCAGACAACTTTAAAGAAATTATTCTCAAAAGAAGGAAGTTAATAGGGGATTATATTTTTTTATCCTGCATGTAATATTCTATATCTAAGACATCTTTATTCATTTGTACCTTTCTAAACTGGTCTGTTCCATATGAGAAACTTTGAAAATGATGTCTCCTTACATCAATTTTTTTTTTTTTTTTAAAAAAAGAAAAACGTAATGAATTTAACCAGGGTGCCATGGAAACAGCTTTAAAATTAATTTGGGTGCAGGGAGGAAGGATACAGCTCTAACACAGAGAAAGTGACAGGCTCAGAGGAAAAAAAGTCAGTCTTCATTCAGTACTGGGATCTTTGAGAAACAATAATGGATAGCAAGGCAAGGGGGTCTTTTCAAATGATAGTGAAGCAAGATTTCTCAAGTAGACTTTCCAAAACGGTTCATTACCAAATTGAGATGTGATAAGGAGAGGCAGAATGGGGCAGAGGCATACAAACCTGCAGGAATGGGAAACTTGAAATGAAAATGGCTTGAAAGCACTAGTAAAGAATGCCAAAGTTCTCGGACAAATACTTCTATTTTAAAGACAGTGCAATACGGGGTGGTGAGATCATTTATAGATCAAAGGAAATCACTACTCTAATTTCTGATCAGTTCAAGTCTGTTAACTCATTCCCACAAATACCTGTTGACTGCCTGCAGTCTGGGTGCGAGTTTTGCACGGTGAATCGTGTCTCCGACATTGAGAGAGGTCTCCAACAGAGCTGGGACGCTGTTCTGTGCCGAGGCCCATATCACTCACTGCAATATAACGTGTTATGCAAGACCAGAACTGCACTGGACAGTAGGCTCCTTGCAGTGAGTCTGGGACAAATATCCTATATATGGTCATGTATACATCAGGAGTTTTATTTCCATAAGTCCTGTCAGTAAAAATGAGAGTTTGACATTGACTCAGGGCTTCCATTGGTGGAAGGAGAATTTGGTCCTTACTTTTATCCGTTCCTGCACTAGACATTTGGGTTTGTTAGATAAACTAAGTTAATCTAATTGTTATTCTGGGACTTTGTACAGAAGTCATTCTAGTCTAAAGCAGATTTCATCACTTATTTCCTTGATAATTCACAAGTTATTTTGGCTGCCAGAGTGAATAGTTGTACATAAAAAGAAAAATATGTTACTAAGCCTAAAAATTTCAGTGAGTGCACAGTCCGTAGAACCATGATGTTATCAAAGTTCAGTAGTACCACAAAGTGATGACTAATGAGCCTATAACCTCTATGCACTGTAGAGTAAGTGCTCTCATTAATTCTTTACAAGACCTTTAGAAAACATACTGCATTCATCCTGCTTTGTAGCTGTCAGAATTTAGTAGATGACTTCATTGGCTACTTTGACATTTTTACTTTTTCGTTCCAGTTTGGTTTGTTTGCTTGCCTTAAAAAATGCCTACTGTGTGAATTGTAAAAAGGTCAACCAATGGTTCCCAATCCAGACAGGACAGAAGTAACTGAAATTAACACATTATAGCAGTAATTTTGACCCTTACCTTATTTTTTTGGTCTGTGAACTGTTAGCTGTAAATAGTAAAGCTATGTGCCAAAGATCTTAATCTTACTCATGCAAATATCCTCTTTCCTTTCAGAATTTCCACTACCCCTTTTTACATCAATGTCCAAGCACTAAAACAGCATCGCTAAGGGATTTGGGGGGGGTGGTGGGAGGACAATGCTTGGTGGATTTTTGTACTGAGAAAGCTCATAAGATCTGATTCTGAGTAAATTACTTTGAAGAAGAATACATTTTGCAGTTAGGGCAGAGTGTAGGAAATGAACTGTCTGAACACTCCCAGAGTTTGGATGCATTGTTCATTTCTCAGCTTATCATAGACTGGGATAATAATGGTGTAGGTTACGCATAAATTGGGATGCTGCTGTAATTCAGGTCACTACTAGTATACAAGTTGGTGGACATACGTATTTGGATGGCGAAGCAAGGCTTTGTCTTTGTAACTTGATTGTGCACTACAAATTGTATAGGGAGGTCATTCTTGCAGAGAAATCCTTGCAATTGTATTTCACTACTGAAGCATCAGGCATTTCATTCATCCGAAAGACAAAAGTCACCAATGCAGGTGCTAAACCCCATTTCAATGGTTTTTTGGGTGGGTTGGGTTTTTTTTCCCCCCGATTATAAACATGGAAAGCACACTATGTTGAAATTTCTTTACTGGCAGTATTAGTCTTTGGCCATTTGTACAGTTAAAAAGACTACCAGACATAGATCAAGTTAATACTGATCTTGTTCACAGTATCTAAGTCCAGAAGTTTCAGTGGATAGCCTTTAGATTTATGCCAGCACATGGGAGACATACCTGATTTTTAAATACAAACATCAGGCTGCTGCAATTCTGAAAATGCCAGAACACTGGCCTTACTTTTCTAATTGGCATCTGAAAACTAAGAAAGATACCTTTAGGCTAAATAAAGCTAACTAGCCTTTCAAATTCTTAGAAGTACTTAACTGCCCCACATCTTTTAAAAAAAAGTGAGGCTACAAATTGCAATATAAATGGTAACAGTGTCCAGTGATCCCAGACAGATCAAATACCATTGTTCCAGGTAAGACATTTATATATGCAGGGAGAGAGATGAACTGTGCCTTCATAATTTAAAAGTTCCAGCAAATCATAAAACTAAAAAGCAGAAGGAAAGCTGTAGGAGCTACGGAGAACCTGGTTAACAATAATAGAGTAAGTGTCTAGCTGTAGGAGCTTTTGTAACCGAGTTTGTAAAATCTGGAGCCAATGAATATTAGTATTTTGAATTCTGCAAGTACTGGTTTAAACAGTTCCAAACCTGTATCCCATATGTTTCTTCAAATATTTCAACTCCTGACTCCTCTGTGTTTGGCTTGAGGCTGAAAAGTACAGATTACTTGATGCCCATGGCAAGTGCTGTTGCAACAGGGAAATGATGTCAACCCCTGCAGTGCAATTCATAACCCGATGTGGGTAAATTCACTTACTGGCAATTTAGAAGAAAACATGCTGGTGCTGTGCCAGTTGGAGCCAGATGGTGACTGAAATTATTAAAATCATGCGTGCTGCAAACCTCTGAAAAATTGCAGTGTTACAAAATATCCTGAGCATAGATGGGATCCTAATACAAACCAATTGGTGTATAGAGAGTATTTGCAAACAGTGTATGGTATGAGTTGTTGCTGTTTAATTGTGATCTTTCCCTTCCCTGTTTTCTAGGTTCAACTAATCCATTATAACCATGAGCTGTACACAAATGTCACAGAAGCTGCAAAGAGTCCTAATGGGTTGGTGGTAGTTTCCATATTTATGAAAGTAAGTATTCAGTATTATCAATACCTAATATATAGACAACAGATTGCTTTTCCCATAAGCTGTAAATCTAGGAATTAGACTCCTCGTTGTACTATAGCAATGTCTAGAGGCTCTGATTTGGAATCCAGAGACAGCATCGTCCTAGGAACTGAACACACAATCTCTACTCCAAAGCATTTACAACGTAATGTAAGGAAAATGAAAAGGGATAAGGGAGGGGAAGAAAAAAAATCCTTACATCCTAAACATCACTCGTAACACTTTAATGGCTATGACATTAGTTAACAGTTTTACAGATTTGGTATTTCTTCATGAAATGTTATTCATTCAATTAAATCTCTCCTAGTAGGTTGAGGCCCTGGGAAAGAGGGCATGTTTGCTCTTTGGAGACACACTGATGTTTAAAAGTCAGCAAAAGAAGTTTTTCTCACAATTAAAACGTCTTAAACTACCCAAAACTGAAAGAACATTAGAAGTATAACTTTTAATATCTTCCATGTCACATAGCTAGAAAGACATGTGAATATTTTGACATATTTTAGTCTCCATCCTGTTGCGTTCAAGATGCATAGTTAGGTCTATAAATTACAGTGATCTAGCACTGAACCCAAGACTTAATAGTTTACGCAAACCTCCTGAATTACACTAGAGAAACCTTTTCTCTCATTTTATATAGAGTGCACTTCTCCCCGAAATGTTGTTCATATTCTGCCATTACGTATCTCTGTTTCATCAGTCTAAAAAAGCATGTAAGTGCTTCATGCTGAAACAAATAGCTTTCATCATCAGACCTTACGTATTGAATATCCGTTAATTCCCTTTAGTACTCTCTAATCCCATTTCATAAGGTAAAGTTCCTGACAAAACATTAACCTCAGAATTAAAATATGCGTTTCACAGAGCATATTGAATAATTAGATATGAAAATTGCCCTTTTATATAGGTCTAATATTTAAGAAGGATATTTAGGTTACCTTTGTGTGTCTGAAATGTATTGCAGTACAACCCAACGATCTGACTTGAATTTGCGCAAAAGGGTAAAACTGAAGCAAGCCTTCAGAATGCCCAGCATGCCACTTTTGTCTAAATAATGCATCACTCATGTACTTGCCGAGTTGCACACCTCTTGTAATGAGCAACAAAATTTAGTATCTGCCTCGCCATATTTTTCTGTAGGCCTCTCTCACTGGCATGAAAAGATATGTTCTATTTTAAGTGTCCAAAGTAGTTAGAAAAGCTTCTAAGTGGAGAAGTAACTATCTGAATTTCCACAAAATGGAACCTGAACTGAATTTTTGTGAAGACTGCTTGTCAAACAGAGCTGGATTACAGTTTGTCCAATAGCCCATTTATTTTCCTGAATCTTAAGTAAACTTTTTGTGAAGTTTTCCATTTTCAAAATAAATTAATTTAAATCTGGAAAAAGGCTAGATACATAACAGCAGCATCCAGTGTCTGATAAAAAAAACACATCACAGAAAAATTGAAAGATAAGTAGGATATTAGAAGGCTAGCTACAGAGTTACTAAAACATCTCAATAAAAAAAATGTGACACTGATTTTGTTGCTAACCAATAACAATTTTGCCATTTACAGTGCAGTAAAATCTCCCATTAAATTACTGTTGATAATCAACGATATTGTTGATAAAGTACATACACCCCACACACGCACTCCCCCTGTCTCCCCCCCCCAGATAACAACACAACAACAATGCCTCTAAGCCCTCTATCATTTTTTCCTCTAAATCCTCTTCAGGTATGCTTATGTTAATGTAGACTGAACATTTTATGTGTATGTATACATATTTGTGAGTGCATGTGGGTGTAATTTAGACATTTCATACAAAGGGAAGACAGATTTTATTTGCAGTCTAAATAGTCTGCTGCAAGGAAAGTATATTTCTCAATAAATAGAAAAAATAATAGAATACTATATGAAAATCCTGCCTAATTATATTAACCACCTGCAAATCTCATCAAAGCTGCTGGAGAATAAACCTGTACTCATGCTTGTATTCAAGCAATAATTTCTATTCATCCTGTTCTCCCGTCCCTGGTTTTTTTTGGATCTATTTTTAGATACCAAATTTCTAACAAGTTTTGTTAGAAAAACATGTAAGTAATTATTTCCTCTTCCCACAACAGCAAAAAAAAGGCAGAAACAGTTTGGAGGAGTGGCAGGAGAAAGGAAATGTTGTGAGAAGATTTTGACGTTGTACATTTTCTCTTCTGTAGGTATCTGAATCATCAAATCCATTTCTAAATCGTATGCTTAACAGAGACACCATAACAAGAATAACGTATAAAAGTAAGTTTCTTTTAATTTACTATGGCTAATAGCTGTACGCTTTGAGTATCAAATAACATATTTAGCGATCCGCTGAAACAAGAGGCACTTCATTATGGGCAAAAATTACAAAGTTTGCATTGCCAGCAACTCTGCACGATAAAGTTGGGAATGTGGAAAATCTTGTAAAGTCATCAGTTCATCAAATGAACTTTGAACTTCAAAGTCTATTTTATGTTTGAACAAGAAATAAATTAATGAAATTATACTTAAAAAATACATATACTGTATTCACACAGAATAGTCAGGAGAAACTGCCTACCGTTAACAATAAAAGTAACATGCGGAGCAGCCTGGATTATATCAAATCAAGTTATGTCAAGATGCTGCATCATTAACTGTGGATTTAGTATTCATTAATGCTTTCTTTTTGTACGGAAAAGTTATGACATTTCTATTCAACTATTGCTGCACTTAATGGATATATAAAGAGATCATTAACATAGCATGTATGTTTGTTGTATTCACATTTAGAAAGGCTTTAACTGATAATGCTTAATAATGCCATGTCAGTATATTGAACTTGTGGAAAACTGGAGCTTAAATATCAGTGAAAATTAGGCTAGTGTAGAGAAAGTCATGAAAAATACATATATCTCAACAGAACAAATTAAACCTCTTCTCTTGAAAACCTTATTCCCTTTGTCAAACATTCACTTGAATTCCCAGCAGCCATTAAGTTAATAAAATAAGTTAAATGATACCAGAATTTAACTTTCAGAAAGTACAAAGCAAACTGAAAAAATAAGGAAAGTAGTATAAAACTCGGCCTTTGTTCTTCTGTAAACAATGACTTAACATTTTCCATAAATGCCATTTCATTTTGCTTTTTTTTGTTTATGAAATCTCAGAGACAGTTGTTCATGATAACTGGAATGAGACTGGTTGTCAGGACTCCAGGATCTGGATCACAATTCTACTAGGGTTTGCCTCAGTTTACCTCTCTGTAGCTTAAATATATTGTCCTATGTACTCTACAACAACATAGTGTTACTTGGAAAACTTTGCATCTGAAACTCCAGAGATCTGAAATGTCCATTTAACTTTGACAAAAGTCACTGAACTTCAGGTTTATGATGGAAAGGTTTGGAGAGATTTCTATACATGTCCCTAAAGTACACAGTCTGATTTCTTTCCATGGACTCCACCCTTTCCCCTCCCTGCAAAGCCAGGATTGTAAAAAGTGTAGATTTGAGACCAATGTAAAGTGAAAGCAGAGAATTTTACCCATTAGTTATTCCTGAACAAGAGAGCACTAGAAAGGTTTTGAGTCTTGCCTTACAATACAGAATTTGAACAGAGCCAATCCAACCCCATGCTGTAGTAGATAGTTCCTTGTCCTCTCCTATAACACACACCTTTCTTCCCACTGATGTTCCTCTAATTTTACCTTACAGTCAACAAATCTTGTTGCATCTTTGGTCCAAATAAGAGGCCTCTATTACGATAAAACTATTCTCCGTGATACCTATAGAAAGGAAAGCAACAGAGGGTTCCCCTCAGAACATTTTTTCCAGATTGTTCTGTCAGTATGAAATGTCATCTTCTCTGCATGGAAGCAGCAGATTAGCCCAGTTTTTAAACTGCCTGTCTTGATTCCTTGCAAAAACACAGCAATACTGTTTTGTAAGAGCTTCCTGCCTACCAGCGCTGCTGCAGCATCCTGGAGACAGGAAATTCTTTTTAAGGCTGTATGTGCTTTTTCAGGCCCTTTCACTCCCAAATTACATACTCCTAGCTTCTGTCTGGGGACCAGCCAGAAGATCTCTGATGGTACCGCTGAGGAAGCTGCTTTTGCCCACGTACACATGCACGGACCTGTCAGGTCTCACATGCTGAATAAGAGAAGACTCCTGCCTCACTTTTCCCGTCACAGCACCTGTATCTCATGCATTTACATGAGTGTCACAGCCTTTTTTGTACTCCTTGGCCCCACATGCTACAATGGCTGGCCAGCAGAGCAAAGACTGGACAACTTCTGGTGGCTCAGAGCAGAGGAGAGGCTGTGATTAGGGATATACAGCTCCACAGGGTGGGAAGGCACCGACACATGGGCGTTAGTGCCTGCATTTGCAATACTCATATCCAGAATAATAATTGAGCAATTCCTCCTCTTTAGTGATGTGTTGGCTCCTTACCACCTTTCCCTTGTTGCATGAGGGAGCGTGCAACTGTTGCCCACAGCAGCAGGCCAGCGTACCGTCCCAACACAAAATACTTCATTTGTATGCTGCACTTAGAAGTGGGCGCTTCAGGCCTCTCTGGAGTTGACCACATCCTACCACCTCTCATTGGTTGTTTTGTCTCTTTAGAAGGAAAATGCCATTCCAATCACACCTAATTTGGGTTTACTAAATGAAATTTCATATGAAGATGAACACATAACATAGGCTGCAAAATCAGTAGTTAACAGAACTGTTTTAATTTTTAACCACTGTTATCACTAACAAGTTTATCTGTTAAAATGAAATCCTTGGTAGATACGATGCACATAATATTCTGCAGGGCATTGGGTTACTTACTGTAGTAACAAGTATTGACTGGGTGTTTTTTAGTGTAGATTGGGAATGTGAAAGTGTTATTGAAAGTAATTTTGCAGTTGTCTTGCGTGATGGATTATAGCATCATTGCTGAAAACTAATTTTACCTCTTACATTGCGAGGATTTCTATTCTGCCTTTAGCAGCTGAAGTTTTTTAGCTTGTGCTTTAGGGGTCCACTCCTGAAGTCAATACTCAGCAGGCTGCTGACAAAATGACCAGTCCCAGTGTGCTCAATAGGAGTGTGGAGCGAATGATAAGTGGAGCACAGGTTCAGAGTCAGGACAGTTAGTAACATAACTGAAGTACTTTTTTTAAAGAACAACAACAAAATTAAGAGCTGTCTATGCTGCTGCATGAAATTTCCATGGGCAAAATGCATTAAAAGGGGAATTTCTACTCTTAGATATTAACGGCTACAGTGAAGTTAAGTGGACCCCAAGGAATTTTTAAGCAGATTTTAAACGCTTATTTTATTCTGTTATCACAGCCCAAAGAATCTACTGTGAACTAGTTGAAACAAATGTTCTTTCAAACAGGCTTTAGTCAGAAGCCATGTGAACATTTCTAAAGAAAAAAATGCTTTAATATTCCTCTTTAAGTACGACATTTGAGGGGATAAGTTACCTTTCTTTCAGAACAGTTATGCTACATTAGCTTTCACCCAGTGTTTGCTTAACATTGGAAAGAAATAACATTTTAGATTCAAAAAATTCCATGTGAAAATTAGGGCTTGTCATTCTCCACTAAAATACTGCCACATGTTTATCTAGGCAGAAGAGCTGTAAAATTTCCTCAAATTCAATCTTCAGCTATTTTATAGATAATGTACAACTGAATAAAGTATTCCAATTTTAAGGGACTATCCTGAAAAAGCTTAAGATTCAGGTTTCTGGAAATAAGAGACTATTAATTTCTCAAGGTTTGTGTTTCAGTGCATTCTCTGAAGGACTGAGCTCTTGCAGCTCCTGTCCCAAGCAGTAAAAGCTCAGCAGTCTCAAACCAGGCCCCAAGGGACTAAGCTCAGGTACTCAAAATGTTCTCTGTCATCCTGGGTCTGAGTGACTTGTGAAGGCTGGTAAATGGAGAAACTCTGTTTCAGGATTAAAAAGCTGAGGAACTCTACATTCCTTACCCTGTAAATCTAATCTAGTTAGAGGTGTACTTTCCCGTTTTGGATTATCATATGAACTTCAAAATCAAATGGACCTTCCTTCATTCAGTAAATAATATATTCCCTATAAATACTATTGTTTTAAAGAGAACATACATAGAATTTGCTGAGAAAGCAGACTCCACACGTCTATTACAAATCTAGGGATAAAAGGAGGATTTCCATCATTTGCTAAGAAATTTGTCAGAGTCAAGGCCTTTATGTAAATGAATATGAAACCTAATGAAATCTAATTTGTATAGAGAAGAGTTCATGAGTTCAGAAATCACCCTAAGGCACAAGTGGATCAAGATAAACAGAATGTGGGCTGTAGATAGGAATGATGCTGAGGATCTAGTAAAGGCTGAATGGGTTTATTAAAGGAAGTTTATTACTGGCAAGAGATCACACATGGCGATTTTGACCATTTTGAACTACACATTTGCAATAAATATAAGACAAGACATTAAAGTGTTGCAGTCTAGCATTAATGCAAACCCACCAGTTCTGTTTTGGTTCCAAAATGGGAAGCTTTTATCAAGGTGTGGGGAAAGGGAAACAGCAGAGCTGTTCGTGGGAAAAATGTTGATAACCAAATGCTTATTCTGTAGTCTTTTCTCAGGGCATTCTCATGGAGTCATCTGACTTCCCATGGGAATATAACCCATATACAGGCATGAATAAATACTGCTTTTACTTGGCCAAACTCTTTTATTTCATTATTTAATTCACCCCCATCTTTCCCCTTTCCTGAGGTGATATTTTCCTCCAGTTTCCCATTAATCACAACTGATGGATTTTGACGCTATAGCATAATTCGCTGTCTCTCCTTCAGCATATTCCAAGTGAAGACAGAGGCAATGAACCAGGTTTGGAGCCACTTCGCTACTGGTGCTGGTGGGGTACATGGCCACACATTTTGTAGGTCCTCAGTATGCAAACAAGGTAACCTAAGCAGTTGATCTGAAGCTCAGTAAGGCTAAGGAGATCATCTCCCCTGATCTTGAGAGCACTGGCATACATCAGGCTTGCCCGAATGAGTAGAAGGACCGTGTCCCACACTGCTCCCACACTGTTACATGCCATATTCCACCCCCGGAGCTTTATTATGTTCCAAGAATGACCAAACGCTGTAAAGCCACAGACAAAAGTTAGAAGCCCATATCAAAATAATGAATTACATTCTCTATTAAAGCAATGTGAAGCAACTCCAAAACCCCCATGATTACCTGCACTAATGCCAGCAGTAAATCTCTTTCTGTACCTTCTATTTGACAAGTAGTCCTATTGTTAGTAATCTGTGCACTGTTCTGAATACAAATTAGTCAACTAGAATGTGGCACACACAAAATATACATATATCATCAATATCCCTCATCTGTATTAATCTTTAGTTAGCTTTCCATCTCCTAGTAAACATTGCAGGGCAAATTCTACCTGGTTTAAATCATTTTAGCCCAACTGAAGTCAATATGGATATGACAAAGCAGATTTGGTCCTCAGAGTTTAAACTATCTATTCTGACTGACTCTGTGCCATTTGGAGCTAACACACCACTCTTCACGGTTCATAAATAATGAACAGGATGTTCATGTGGGAAAGGGAAAAATGTGTGATGACTCATTGAAAACAGGCACTGGCTTGAAAAAAATGCGTTCATTCTCTTCTCATGTAATTCTGGCAAAATTACTGCTACACTGCAAATAATGTTTTTAATGAATAGGACACAGGTGTATTCAGTCATCTCTAGCTGTTAAAATGTAACAGTATTCTGACTCTAATAATATAGCAACGGTTTTGCACTTTTGTCTGGAAAATTTTGGATTTAGAAAGACTCTGTATCCCAGGCCATGGGCCAGTGAAGTCTGAGCATGTTAAAAAAGGTGACAGTCAGCCACCTACAAGACACTAATAGTACTTTCCCCTCCTCTGCTCAAGGATCCAGCTATATGGAATAGCAATTACCCTGGCTTGAAGTGCAAGAACATGGCAGAAAGCTGTATTTCTGACAAACTTGAAAGGACTTGCCAAGATTGTATTTCGTAAAATAACAAACACATTTAAAATATGAAATAACTGTAAGGCACTGGTCAATGTGGTATAAATGTTACACTCTCACCTTGACACTTTAACTGATGCTGTAGCCACTAATATTGCTACCCCAGAAGGCTGTATCATGTTGACTGCACTATGTCAAAATAAAAAAAAGGTCACATTTGCTTTGCCCATGTTCTTTGATTTTCTGTTGCCCAAGACAGTAGTCTGCAATCCTTTTTTTTTCCCCCCTTTAGATAGTATGAGACAAGCATTTTGCTTATCTAGGTTTTGTCCTTCAGCTATAATATGTTAAATTCAAGTTAAATTACTCTTTTCTTTTTCAGTTCTTATATGCTTCCTTGACCGTTCATATTTCTTTCCTTGGTTCCATTTACAATCTTTTCCCGATGGCCAAGGAACTGTTTATCACAGCTTTAAAAAAAACCAACACACAGCAACAAAAAAACCCCCACAAAACCAAAAACTGTTTAAACTTACAGTGAATGATACATGAAAAAAAAAAAAAAAAAAATCAGAGAATCCAACAGAAATGCCTAAATTATTGGCATTGACTTAAAAGATGCACTTTCAACTTTTTTCTTTGGTCTGAGAAGTATCTTCTATTTTATTTGTACTATCTTCCCTGCCTTCCATTAAAATCCATGCCAGTTCATCTTTTGTATTGAGAGGGGAAATGCCTAAATATGCAGCTTTCTTTGCCCACATTTTAGCACTCGCTCTGCAAATGAACCATATTGAACACACTACGTGCAAGTGAAAGCAAAAGAGATTTCACAACATTACAGCTCGTAACCAGCCCAGCTTTCTCCGAGAAACACGATAGCAGTAGCGTATAAGTAGTGTGTATATCCCCGAGTATTTCATATTAAGGAACTCCTACAGCCTAAGATTGGGCAGGGAAATCTGAGCTGCGGTTTTGACAGCACTGCCAGAGATATTGTAGGGCCAGCATTACACAAGGGAAATAGTGCACATAGTATAGAAAAGGCTGAGGAACTTTGATGAATTTTGAAAGATATAACCATATCTCATTATATTTGGGTACATGTCCACAGAGTGAATTCTGTTGCAGAGGGATACCTCTAATTCCCAGGGAGACTTACGATAAAAGCAGGGACCCTAGTGAGTCGCTTTCCGGCATACTTTTTCACCCTGATTTTAGCATTCTGAGGGAGATTGCACTGCATCCACCCCCACTGTGCACATGAAAGGCCAGCAGGCTTCATTGAGCAGCTTTATTATCATGCATTAACCTTAACTTCCTCCTGTGGTAGAAGGGCAATTAAGTTTTAACACTCCTGGCCTTCCCAAGGCTTTGTTGAGCAAAAATTGTTAATCACTCCGAAATATGGTAAGTTGACATTCTCCAAAGACTGCTGCATCTAAATCAATAACTGCAGCTTCAAGAAGCTTTTAACTCCAGTTCTTAAACGTAATTCAGAGTTTCACTGTGAATGCTTGTGCTAAACTCACAGAAGGTATGCATGGGCATCTAAGAGTAGAACTCAACCCAAGCAGGATTAGTGAATTCATGTTACTTGTTCTTGTCCAAACTGCTGGAGCATTCAGAAATGTATGTTCATTACACTTCATGTTTCAGTAGAACTGATAATGATATTCTGGAATAAGGATTGTACATAAGAAAGGTAGGATATTTTTTTTTGTGAAGCTATTGTTTTATTTCAGTTGTTTTCCTTCTTTATTCTCCAGATGACGCATACTTACTACAGGGGCTTAATATTGAGGAACTTTATCCAGAGACGTCTAGTTTCATTACGTATGATGGGTCAATGACAATTCCACCCTGCTATGAAACAGCAAGCTGGATAATAATGAACAAACCTGTCTACATAACAAGGATGCAGGTAAAAATAGTAAAAAAATGACTCGATCTAGTATAGGTACAAAAGAATACTTCAAACATATATTTGTAGCTTTACATAAAAAAAATCAGATTTAGCCTTTTGGTGCAGGGATCTCTGTCTGCAATTTATATAGTTTGCAAAAGCATTGAAGAGTTTTTTTCCAGAATAAAAATATGAACTATTTAGAGCTCCCTAAGTATCTGTACACACACATATGTACTTTCAGGTGTGCCCTGCTTTCAGTGAGGTTTTGAACCACATGGTTTCCAGTGGTCTCTTCCAAACTAAATCATTCTATGATTCTGTGAACAGATATATGGAGATTCTAAAACAAATATAGCAGTGTTGTACAAAAATAACTGAGGTTATTAAGTATAACAGAGGCCATTCTTTGGTCAGAAAGAAACAGACAAATTGTGAGTGATGCTTGTGGCCGATGAAATACACATCAATATCACATTAATGTGACAGAGATCCAATATATGGGGACTTCTTGAAAAAAATCAGCTAGAGCTTTCTGGTATAGAATAAGATGAGACAATAGACATTGCAAATATCTTCAGAAGAATCAGATTGAAAAATTGAAGCCCCTATTAGAAAGAAGCAGGATAAGTTATGCAAAAGAAAACACAACTAATTTCATAGTCAAAAATTACGCTGTTGAGGAAATACATCAGTAGAAAAGCCGTAAAGACTACATTTCTGTATGACTCAATCCAAGGCCTAACATCAGAAAACAAGAAATGTAACACCAACTGCAGGCTTCTCCAGAGCTTCCATCAGTAAGTTGCCTACAGAGCTGTGAGCTGAACTAAAACCTATTCTCTTGCGTACTAGAATCCCGAAGGAATTCTTGAACCACCATCTGCCTGTCCCAAGCATGCAGCAGAGCAGTCTGGCCTGAGAAATGAAATGAGGAATGATAAAACAACCCAAAAATATTACTTTGGGATTTAAAAATCATATTAACATTACAAATAAGATTTTAAAAAGCCTGAGAGATGTTTTATCTTTGTGATACTCCTGTCCAATTTTGTCTAGATGCAGAGAAAGCACTTTGTTTCTTTTTCTAAATAGGTAATTTGGGAGAATGACACAGCTGAGCACAGGCAGACATGCTGTACATTCTGAACTTTTCAAGCAGGAGATCTGAACATTTTCCTACAAGCAACATTTTTAGTTACAACATTAATGTACAAAACAAGGATTAGAATATTTCTGGAGTCTATGCTAGTACCGATGGGTTATAATCTCACGATACTTACTCCTTGTCTTGCTTTACTTGTTAGTTACATCCTCCACTATTACTGCTGCAGATTAATTTCATGGAATACTTACTAATTACATTGTGTACTCAGACTGAGAAAGTAATGCACAAGTTTTCCCTGGAAGCTGTTAAAGATTTTCATTATGTAAAACCCAGCTACTGGATTTCCCCATTTAAGCATTAAATGCCACAACCAAACCTCTTAAATTGTACACTGACATGAAAAATATTTTCTTATTATATTTTTAAACCAAAATATTTTGAGGGTTTCTGATTTACAAATTGCAGCTTTTTTTTTTTTTCCTCTCTCTCCAGTTTCCTATACAAAGTTTGAAAGGTTTTGGTTGACTTGAACCTATTAACATGCTTTTAGCACAGTTGCATAGTCATCATAAGAATCATTGCTGTCTGCTTGTAGTTTGCATCCAACCACTGCTGGGTGCACACCGAAAATCCTGCATGATTCAGTAATTCCCTCTCTGCTGATCCATAAAACCATCTCAAAAGAAGGCCAGAGTCTACCAGAACGCTACAGACACAGCACAGACAGTATCAAGACAAACCTGTCAATGGAGAGAGGACTTCACGTTTTAACATCATTAATTTCATTACTTCAGCAGCATGAGCCTGTCAGTTATCCTTTCCATCCTGACTGGCCATACCTGGTTCTTGAGTACCGTCATCCAAAACTGTGTCTTCTCAACTGGAAGCTACACTAATAGCTACAAAACTTCGGAGATTAGCTCTTGTCATTCATCAAGTTCATTTTCCCTGCACCAGCTGCTGCCATCCAGTACTCTGGATTCCATTTGTTTCTTGATCAGCCAAGGACACCTCATACCATTTTCGTTTACTCCACACAAAACTGGTTACTTTCGTTTAAAATGGGGCTCAGAAACAGAGGACCACAGAAGGAACACTTTTACTTCAAGTTAACTCTTTCAACCCACCTCTGACTACAAATCACTGAAATTCTGTTTAACTTTCATTAAGTAGTCTATTTAATAGTGTTGTGTGTTGTTTACTTACAGGGAAGACCAGTACTAAAAATCCTTGTTTTGTATTTTGTATAGATGCATTCTTTACGACTGCTAAGCCAGAATCAGCCATCACAGATATTTCTGAGCATGAGCGACAATTTCAGACCAGTCCAGCCTCTCAACAATCGATGTATCCGAACTAATATCAACTTTAGTTTACAGGGAAAAGATTGTCCAAACAATAGAGCACAGAAACTACAGTATAGAGGTACGTTCTACCTCCAGAATAATCCTTTCTATGCTTACACTGAGCTCTTTCCGTTGAGAAACCCAAGTGCATAACAAAGCATACAGATAAAAACAGATGAAACTCTAGATCTGGGGAACTAACGGTATGAGTCAAACATTATATATTTGAAATGGAGGAGGAAACTTGCCCAGAAACATGCAGGAAAAGCATGACAAAAAACAGTCTGGGACATCTAATATTTTTTTTAAAAGCAGATAGGACAGGCCTTGAGTTTTCTAGCCTCATTTTAAAGTCTTCTCACCTTACAAAGTGCATTTTGCTCCGTTTTACCCACCTTGGAAAGAAAAAAGGGGGATGAGCTAGTCTTGATGACAGCTGATCTCAAACAAAAGAATAAATTTCACTTTGGAGGTGCACCACCGTAACAAACACCCAAATTGGAAAGTTTTGTATTACGCAATGGATATTAAACAAATGAACCAAGCCAGTCTCCTGCTGGTAGAGTCTTACACTGCCACAGCTGGGGACTCACAGCTGAGCTGTAATGTGTCTCATGCATCTTTTAGCCTATGCACACACAGTTATGTTACCTGCAATAACGGTGTAAAAGTGCCTTCTTACCAATAATACTATGGTTATGAAGGAGTACTACTGAAGCGTGGAAAAGAAAACACATTTTCGCAACAAGGTTGGTGACTGAGTTGCAATACTTCAAAGAAACAGTCATTCAGACTTAATTCTTTTCTAGAAAGATGAGGAAACTGAACCTCCTGTTTTTTCCAAGACATTTTGTTTAAGTGCCTAATACAGTGTTAAATCCAGCCAGTTCCACATTTGGAATTTATTAAAGCATAACTGTTTTTGTTTTGTTTCTCTTTCCTTCCAGTAAATGAATGGCTCCTCAAGTAAGAAAGACAGAGCAGGCAGAACCCATAACCTCAGTGGAATGCTACTACTGTGAATTGACATAATCTAGAATACACCTAACCTCACTCTCTTTGGGTTCGCAACAGCATGTGCAAACGTGCTGTAGGAAAAGAGCTGCCATGTTGGAAACTCAACTAAAAATTCATTCATATGATTGGTGGTAATTTAAAAAAAAGTAAAAAGACAGCATTACAGTAAATGTGATTACAATTTTGATACAGTTTTCCTGAACTAATTTAGCTTCACAAAGAAAGACTTTTCAGCCTTTGTACATATGAAATTCTTCCTCTTTCCCCCCTCCCTCAAATTAAAAAAAAAAAAAAAAAAAAAAAAAAAAAAAAAAAAAAAAAGAAAAAAAGAAAGAAAAAAGGTGGCTCGGTACAGCATCAAAGTGGAGTTGTGTTCTGTGTGCCAAGTAATCCTTGGAAAGCTCTCATTATTTCACTATCATTAAGGGATACTGACAAGACAGAACAAGACGACTGTAGAGGAAACTTATTTCTAGGTTATGATCTTTCTGTTCATTTAATTAAAAAAGGGACAGACTTTGAGAGATAAGTATTGTAAATATATCACTGCAGAATATAAAGGAAATTGAAATATTTCCCTCTTTGTCACATATCTGTAGTAGGATTTGCCAAAATCAGAATTGATCCATTTTCTGTTTCTTGTTTTACAACAGGTCATACGTTGTGTTGGTTACTATTAACAACTCAATAAATGTGTTTAACAAATTAATTTAGTAAACTTGCTTTGATTTATTTTTTCCTTTCTGAAATAATATGCCTCTACTACTTGTGGCTGCATTATTTGGGTTTTTTTTTCTTTTCTTTTTTTTTTTTTTTTTTTTTACTTAATTTATTTGTTTGCAGCCAATTTAAGTGAGAATGGCAATTGGGAACGCACTTAAAGCTAGTATAACTTTAACTCCACTTTATGGTCCATCATTAGTAGGAGCTGGGCTTAGAAGCAGAAAGCAGTTGAAACATGTCTCCCTTTAAAATTGCCATTTTCCCTGCTGAATCCATTGTTGGGACAAACAAATTCAATCCTGTAAATTGGTGGTGGAAAGGGATATATTTTCTTTACAGACAAAGCAGGAGCTGACCAAGTAAAAGCGAATGCCTTTTTTCTTGTTTATAATGGTCATTCACTGTGTTTGGTTACTGTCAAGAACTCAATAAATGTGTTTAACAAGTTCACATAGTGCATGTTTGACCTTCTTGCACATTAAGGGGTTTTGGTTTTGTTTTGTTTTGGGTTTTTTTAGCTGGAGAGTGGGCAGACCTATGCTATTCCATTCCTAATGCTCACTTTATAACCCATTACCTGTTGAAGTTCACAGAAAATAAGATGCAGCTAGAAGGTACCATGCCTGACCAATTCATTGTTTATACCAAATGGAAAAATAGGCACTGCAAAAGTGTGAGGGAACTGAACCACTGTAATGAAGTTACAGATGTTGCAGGCCAACTAGCTTTAACATGACAAACACATTATTTCATCTCTGGCTGAAGAGAACACCACAGGTAGCATCAGACAGGAAACTCTTGAGTCTATGTTGAGGGTATTGGTTTGGAAAGATTGCAGCTTGTGTGGCTTCATCTGTGACATGAAAGGGAAGGTTATCAGGAAAGTGAAAACATGCACAGGCTGGCATTCAGGGGACTCTCAAAGTAGGTAAATGGATGTAGATGGAAACCTGTGAGGAACCCAAAGTTGTCAACAATTCAATTTCTCAGTGAAAGGTGCAGAGAAATCACTAGTGAAAGAGCAGAGGTTGGCCTAGATGGGCTGTGGCACAGTGATGCCATATTTGTAGCAGGGTTCTGGGCCAATGACCTCAGCCCAGGATCCTATTAGCACATATATAGTGCCTGATCCTTAAGTTATTTCATTTTGACCATTTCAAATGACTTCCATATACCAGCTTAACACTGTGCAGTGAGCTGAAAAACCCACAACACAACCACAGAAATGTCACACAGTGACTATTACACTGTAGATGGATATTGTCAACTTTTGAAGCTGAGATAAAGTAAAATTATCACCTTAGATTTACTTAGCTAATAAAAAATTTAAATCAAGTCACACATGTTTAGTATTTTTGAGTTGCCGTAGTGATTATTAACATTTAAACTTGTGCTGTTGGGATTGTTTCCACTACCTGTTTGGGTGGTTTGGGTTTTTTGAAGCCTCTCCGAGGATTGTTAAGGCTGCAGAGTAAAGTTACTGAGAGAACAAAGTCCACAATGCTTCAATCTATATTTTTGGACAAATATCTGGCAGTTGTTCATCCAAGTCTGTCAGTGACAGAAGGTAGGGAAGATAAGCCAGGCCTCCATTATAAAACTTTTAATAAGTAATAAAACCTATTTTCTATTTTACTGAAAGCTGACTGAAGGGATTTAAGAGGAGGGAGAGATATGGTAGAAGGGACTAGTCCTAGGAAGGAGTCATGCTGTGCTTTGGATTAGGTGAGGCTGCAATATGGAAGCCCTGCAAATAGAGAAATGGAGCAATCATACCAGGACACCACAAATATATTTGTCAACATTTCCAACTCGATTTTGTGAACGAATGAACTCCATCTTGCCATGATATGTTCAGGGTTGTGTTTTAATAATAGATTGCAGTTGAAATAGACCAAACCAAAGCTTTGAATTAAATATCTTGCACATTCCTCACATTTCAGTAGTGCTCAAATCTAGACATCTAGCTCCAGTTTTTCAGATCAGGCACGTATTTCTGTATCAAGAGACACTGAGCATCCAAAGCAAGCCACACTTCATCACAAAGCCTTTAAGCAAAAAGATAAAGTTCCAGGATTGAACAGCTGGCACAGAGACAATCTTCCGATGTTCAGAGTCTATGCAGCACGGCAACATTTGCACATAGTAATCCCTCCAACTTGAGTGCTTACTGCCCACAATGCTCACCAGAAGTCTGGCTGCACACGGAGCTCAGTACTCAGTACTTTGTAGGAAGAGCTGAATTTGTGGCCTTGATACCATCCCTGCCTGAGCCATTCAGATTATGAGTGAGATTCTTTGCTTGTGATAAGGCTCAGTACAGGCATGAGCTGGCTGGCAGGGAATATTAACCTGGCAGCGGTCCTCAATGACTAATCAACACCACAGGCAGGACCAGGTTGCCATGCCATGATGGTAACACACATTAAAAACCTAATACTAGGAGGAAATGCTCGGATTTGATCTGCTATCACGGTTAAGAATATGATATCAAACTAGGTACCAAACTTATCAAGCTCATTTGATGATAAAAAGCATGAGAAAATTCAAATTTACACTACTGTAAAAGCCTCTGTTTCAAGTAGTATTCAAAAAAGTGTAATAGCCAAATTTTATAAGCTCACTTTTTCCTTTTTAATCAAAAGGAAAGATTATTTCTAGCTATACAGAAAATAAGAACTAAATAGGATCCGTGGCATGAAGGCAGAAAGCAAAAGCCTTCAGCATAATTGTGCCTATAGATACCATGCACTTCTGTCCTTCCACCATGCTATTCCAGCCTTGAAAGCTGAACCAGCAAGCAAACATCTCAAGGATCTGCCTAGAAGCTTAGATATTTTATTATAAAACAAACTCCTATGAACCAGAGCCCATCCTTTCTCACCGTTTAAAACCTCTCACTTTTCTGTAAAGTATATACTCTGAAAGAAGAGGGGGGCAAGGGAAATGGTGCTGAGAAATGGAGACCTGAGATGAAGGCACTGGCAGGCTCCAGCAAGGCTAAGAACAGTTACACTTGAATGTGTGCAAGGCTGTGCTCCCCTATGCTGATCCAGAAACTCAAATGCAGACAAGCAACTCAATCAAAAAAGGTAAGTTGGCCAGCAAAGATCAGAACAACTTAAAAATCACCCAAATTCATGTTCTTATGAATAGCACTGTTTGCTCTGAGTGTCGATACACTGTTCCACATCTTGGCCTTAAGAAATGTCAATAACTGCTGCTCAGATGACATTAGTTTGTCAGGCATCTGAGACGTGAGGGCCTGGTGGAAACAGGCTGCCAGCAGCCAGCATAATTTTAAGTACTTTGCATCCAATGGTGTTTCAATCCGCAGGACTTTAAGACATTTGTTATTAAACAAAGAAAAAAAAACCTTAGGATAATACTTCAGAATCCTTCCTGCTTCTGACAGGCTCTGCCTTTACTCTCCCCATTTTGGTTTTCTGGGAGTTTCACACCTTGCTACTTCCAACACTAGCCTTCCCTTTCAAAATTATAAGCAGCTTTGAGCAATGCAATAAAGGCTTACCCCACAGAAACACAATACTGTCATAAAAATACAAGAGTTGGCAAGTCTCTTGATACTAGCTGTTGCTGGAATCAACATATTTCAGCTGCCATTAAAAAATTTAAAATAGTAATACAAAAAGAGCTGCTACAGCTATTAATTGGTGAAGACAAGCCAGAAAGCAGGACATGATTGCACCCAAAAGACCAAGACCAGAAATCAAATAAAACACCCACAACATTTAAGGTATTCCTCATGATCTTTAATATTAAGGAGAAGGGGTGTTAAATTTTTTTCTTTTATTTTTTAAAGTATTCAGGGTTCACAATACCGAAAATTCTATCACAATCTGAAAATAAAACTGAAACTTTCTCTAGCTGCTGCTTTCAGGAGCTGAACCTTCCCCAAAAGTCAAGGACTGAAGGGAAAACTGTAAGTGATCAGTATATTTTACTGCAAATATCAGAAATGCAACCAAAAGGCAGATGTTTTGCACGTTCTGCTGTACATCTTAAAGCTTTAGAACTGGACACTACCCCAGAAATCTCAGATGTTTGGTTCCTGTACTCAAAACAGTATAAATTTTTCAGAGAGATCAGCCATAACTGCTCCATGTTTTGATTTTTTTTTTATTAGATTTTATTCCCTAGATGTAATGGCTGACAAAGCATAGAGAGTTTGCCGTAAGAAAGGCTGATTTACTAGCAAATGGCTTACCGCAGTTCCCAACAGCATACCATAAAATTATTCAAGGAGCCCGTTTGCACGGTAAAGAGTAAGAACCATTTATAATGTGAAACGTAATGCAGGCAAACATTTTCTGTTTCCTACAGTGTCAGGCTTCTATTCTAATAACTAAAGATGTGTCAAACACATACTCAGAGCAGAAAATGAAAAACAGGATAATAAATCTTCTAAGGATGGGAAAATAATCCTTAATATTTAAATAGAGCAAAAAATCCTTAGAAGTGTTAGAAAAATAGAAA